GGACCCTTTGGGAGCACCGCTGCTAGAATGTTGACTCGTACCGATGTCTCTATCTACTAGTTCTAGTACTAGTACTCGTACTACTACTACTACTACTACTACTACTACTACTACTACTACAACTGCTACTGCTTCTGTGATACGTGGTATGAGCATTATCCGTGATAGGAGTATGCTGATGTTGTTCAACTGTAGCAGTGTTCTTGGAGCAGAGGCAAGTGGCATGGCCCTGAACATGCTCGTGGTCTCCTCATTGACGCCTGGTCTAGTGTTTCGGGTTTACGGTTCCGAAGTGGTTCTCCCTGCGCATTAGACCCCAAGTCCTCATTTGAGAGTTTTTCCCTTTAATTTTCCAATGTGCAGAACCCTCAACCCCGAACTCGCGCCCTTTGCGATAGACAGGGGTCCGCCGAGCTGTATGGCCACAGTGACCACAAACGGCTAGGGTTTTAGGGTTTAGGAGAGTCCTGTGAGATGAAAACGTCAACACACGTACCGCGCGCAACTCTCTCATGCATGAATGAGGCTGCAAAGGTTGGCACGAAACATGAGTTTTTGACGCCAAACCCAGGACAATGCCGCCCAGCGCATTGTCAAAATTTTCGGTGCGACGTACGTAGACACTACTACTGCCGCAAGTCGGAAAGGCTGTAGTCGATTTCTTTATGCAGTTTTAGGGCTCAGACTTATGATTGCTACGATTGCGAACCTTGGCACGGGATTGGCGTTGTCATGAGCGCCTGAACCCCAGGCAATAACCTTGAACTCTAAACCCTAAACCNNAACCCTAAACCCTAAACTCCAAAGGATTGGCATTGTCGTGGGTGACCTTACCTGGTTGATGGCTCTGCAGCGCAGCTTGGTCTGGACTCAGGAGTTTGTCTATGTCGTGATTCGACTTCCTTATAACTGTTACCCTAAACCCTAAACCCTTCCCTACAAGTGTTACATGTTTTCACAAGAGCGCACCGAACCCAAGAAGAAAAAATCTGCCCGAAGATGTAGAAAGCTCGTTTATCCGTTGAATTGGCCTGCTGATCCACATGTAGCAAAGTCAGAGACAACAGCATAAAGCCTAAACCCTCCCCTCAATTCTACCCTATCCCGTACTTATATCAGGGACAATCAGCATGCAGGCATCGGCGCACGACGAGTCATTGTAGTGGACTGCTTGGCGCCCTTCATTGGTGCAACTTGCGCTTGATTCGTGTAAGGCTTTGCGTGTTGGGTGTGCAGTTGATATTGGCTGTGTATCTACAGGATGAGTTTGTGTAGATTTTCTAGAGGGTTTAATGGGGGTGTTTCACCAAATACTTTTTTTGTGCAATCAGCATTCAGAATAGACATTATCTCCTGTAGCGTTTTCAGGATACACTCGTGAGGAGCCCTAAACCCTAAACCCTA